GCCGGAACTGTTTTGCGTTCTCTAGGTGCGGAGGGAGCCGAGCGGGTTTGATGACGGTCCTTCCTCTAGCATTAGGAGGTTTGGGGGCGGGAAAGCTCCTTGGGGGGCCTTACAGGTGAGAGACAACAGCTCTTCCCAGTGCTCTGCTGGAGAAGAGGCTGCAGGCGGTTGCAGCTGGGTCCCAGGGTGGCGGGGCTGACAGGGTCTGGGTTAACCCTCTCCTCCTGCTGTCACGGGCTCCGTTTCCCTGCCGCTCCCTCTACCCAGCGCCGCTCCGATGGCGTGGCACCAGCCTGGGCCTTGCTTGAAGAGCTCGAGAGTTGTTTTAAGTCAGAAGCTGTGTTTTGGGTGCATGTCTTCTCAGTGTTCGAGAAGCTCGGGTGTTAAACCTATTAAAATACTTGTCTCTTGATTCATAATAGCCTTTCCGTGTGAATCCCCACGTGGCCCGGGCGTTCCGGGTGTTCCCAGAGCGATGTTTGTTTGCTCAGGGCCCTGGTTTGTCTTCCTGAGGTCTGGAAACCTCAGCCTGGGACGTGTCGCAGCGAGAGGACAGGGGTGTGCAGGGGGAGAATGCAGCTCCCCTTTCCATGAGAAACTGAGCAAGGGCTGAATCGGCAGCGGGTTGCCGCACCTCCCGGCGCGTTCCTGCTTGGGAGGAGCTGATGTATGTTTCCTAATTTAGACTAACCCCTTTACTTCTAATGTACCTTGAGCAATTATTAAACAGGTCACGATTGTCTTCATCAAAACATGCACTTCATCTCCTGAATATCATGAAACGCTATTGAACTCAGCCTGCCTAGGCTTGTAGCACAGTTCACTGCAGCGCGTACTTAAATATCTCCTAGAAAAACAAATTCCAGCTGGGGAAAATAGTTCAGCGATGTGTTGCAGTGTCTTAGTTTTACTTTGTGTCTTTCTATATACAACATTAAAAAAAAAAAAATCAAATATGCCACAAGCAAGTGCTTGCCAGATTTAGCAAACTCTCTTTATTTACATACAAATACATGTACACATATATTCTGTATATGTACACATATTTAAGTGTATATACATACATGATTTCCACATACTCTACAATAAATAGCATGTAGGGTTTTCTTTTAATTGCCTACAGTGCTGAGTAAAAATACATGGCAATAAAATCATGGCTTACAGCTAAGTTACAAAAGCACCAACCACTGAACTCATAGCAATAAATCCGAGCTTATATACAGCCAGAACGAGGACACGCTATACAGAATACAAAGTAGACCATCTTGTAGGAATCAACAGTAATAGACAAACTAAAAAACATCATTTAGACCAAGAGAGGCTCTGTATGAAATAAGATGAAGGAAAACATTAGATTATTGATCAAACTAAACCACACATTTAAATTTGTCACCTAGAGAGAAAAGCAAATTAGCCAGTTACTTGTAGTATATTTTTAACAGTAATTTTTTTGTATGAGACTTCACCAAGGAAATCAGAATTAATCTCACGAGCGAGTCTTTCTGAGCTGTCATAGTCATTTGTCTGGGTGCACACCACTTGAACAGAGTATTTTAATAGTACTTTATTTAGGCTGCATGTAACTTCTTGGACCCTGCATGTGAGTTTGACTGTAGGCAATAAAAAGCACTTCCTCAGCCAGCTTCTTCCAGGGGACCTGTGACATCGAACCATCGCAAAGGACCGTGATAGCAAACTGGCAGCAGCAGCAAAATCAATACCCAACGGAAGCGCAGGGGATTGATGGTTGAAGCTGCAGCGCTGGAGCTAGCTGCTGTTGACTGCTGTGGGAGCAGCATCTGTCCTGTTGAAGCCAAACCACAGCCGGACCCTCCGTTCTCGTAACTAACTACGGTGGGGTGATGCTATTCTGTACTAGGGGAAAGTCGGGCTGAGTATTTTTGTATCGACAGCAATTGTTTGAAATCTGCTTTATGAGGCAAAGATGCATAGATTTTTTTTCTTGTTGTTGTCCCCTTTATTTGTCATTGCTTACCATTTTGACATAAGGTATGCAATGCAATGCTAAGGAAGACAACCGGGTGCCGTTAAGCAGAAAGCTTGTGTTGTTCAGGTATCGTCCTAATGCTGGGATGTGTTTTCCTTGCTACAGTGCAGTGCTAAGAGGGCTAGAGAGCAAGATAATTGCTTCCCTTAAGTGGAAGCCTGCCCCTGTTGTTCTCAGACTTAAACAGAGATTATCTTTTTCCAAGGTATGGATGTTCTCTATCGCTGTAAAACTAGTAGTGGTGTGTATGAAAACATTTGAGAAGGATCAAAACCAATGGTGACCATGGAAGGAAGAAATGTACACCAAACCTGCACAGCTGGGGGGGGTCTAGTAAACTAAAGCTCATCCATGTCTAATTACATCATTGCATATCTATGGGTAAGAAGTCTGAAGGAAGAACCACTCACTCTTCACTTCAATGAATACGTACAACTACTACAACTCATAGAAATGCAGATTCCTTTCCTTTTTTTTTTTTTTTGTCCTAGAAATAGCACTTTCTCTCAGTATTTGGACTTGATTCCTTGAGCCCTGCGTGTGTAACATCCTTTATGAAATTGATGGGAGAGCTGTTTATTTGGATTTTGTGTATAAACAGCTGGGAGTCTGCTTCATCTTTTGTTCTTTATATTGTCATCTTCTAAAGTTCCCAATGAGAAATAGGATCCTGCTAAGTGCTGTCCAATTCAAGTAAAAGACGACCTCTCTGCCATCGAGTTTAGTTTAAAAAAACTGATTTTCAAGCTTTGATGTTCATTACAGATATAATTTTGTTTGATTTTTGTCGTGTGTCTGCCTGGTAGTTCCCTTATTAATGATGAGAGCTAAAATGCAGTGGTCTCAAATGAAAATGATTGTTACATAAATAGTTTGATTATTTACGATACAGCACAAACACAGCTACAGTTTTTAAAGACTTCTTAACCTGATAGGAAAACATATTCTTCTCCAAAAGGTTAATGGAAATGCTTATTTTGACGACTGATGCTGCATCTCTACAGTTACCCACGATGGTATCAGCCAGAGGACAAGTAGGGAGTCTCACTATGGTAATTATAATCAGGACAGACCTTTTGCACCAGTTTGTAATCTACGCTGTAAAAAGCGATGTAAATGCAGATAACTTTAAATGGTTTGGAACACAACCAGGAGACATGGCTTTGAGTCTGCTCTTGATAGCAGATCTTTGAAGGGTCGAAATTGCACAAGGCAGTTTTTTTAGCGCGGTCTGTTTTTTCGTACTCGATTCGGCAGTTGAAGGACTTGGATTCCTTGGTCTCCAGTGTTGACTGTGGAGACGATTCGAACTCAACCACCTTGGAAGGTGGCACCAGGCTTACAGAAACATTTCCCAGACCTGTGGAGTTATGTCGGAAATAAACACTGAAGGTCCCATTGCCGTGATCGACGATTTTCCCTGTGATCAGGAGGTTCAGCTTAACAGTTTTGATGTTAGAGTGGAAGTCGCCCCATCCAAACATTTTCTTGAATTTCCCAGTTTTTACTATAGGTCTGCGTTTAGTTCGTGCGAGAGATTCCTGAACCTCCGTGATGTTGGACAACCAATCCCAAAAGTTTTCTGTGCTGTCCGAGTAGGACACCTGGCCGTGTTTCAGTACTGGAGATGGCTTAACAAACAGGCGTAAAGGATTGATGATCCTGGAATGGACGACATTGTCGACCAGCGTCTCTGCAGCATCCTTGTCTTCCCAGTCCAGCACGTCTGTGGCTTGCACGACTTGATCAGCGTCACAAAATACCTGTTTCAAAACAGAAAGAAAGAATTGTACAAAACGTGAAAATAAAACTGTCAAGATACAAAAGGAGCCATTAATATTTCTTTTTACACCAACAGGGTCTGAACCAGCCCAGTCACGTGGGCTACTGTAACGAGTAATTTCTGCTACCCCATGAAAGCTCAAGGATTTTACTCAAAATAGCTTACGGAGGATGCAAAAAGCTCAATGTGAGCCATCCACTGGAACAAACGGATAAATCTCTGGACGGGTTAAGCACTGGGGACAGACACCCTTTGCTCGCAGATTTGTTAGGTAAGGACATGTCTAAGGATGCTGGAGGACCTGAAGAGCAAGTGGCACCTCTGCTAAAAGATGGAGTGAAATAGAAAAGCAGAATTTTCCATTCCCCTTTGGTTTTTTCTCCCCGCTTAACATCCCAACTGCTATAAGCTTAAAGTCCTCTCCTATTCAGCTGCTTCTGGTGTTGTAACTGTGTACTACAAATGTTTATTATACATTTGTCTTTTCTTGTGTTGCCTCTTCCATTTTTTCCAAACTTAGCATGCCCATTTGTGCTCTTAATTTGAGACAGACCGCAAAAATAACCATATTTTTGGTGCGTTGGTTTCAGGTGCCAAGATGCCTGTATTTATCAAGGCCTACCCTTCAAGAAGCGCAGAGCACATCTCATCGTTTTTCAGAAACGTGACCAGGCCAAGCTAAGTCTAATGCAAAATTGTTTGCAATCGGAAAGCAAATAACTACTTCTGGTAGCGACAGAATGGAGTTAGGTTTCAGAGTCAAACACGCAGGTCTCAGTAAATAGCAGATTTCCAATTTAATGTAGAAACACATTGCCCACGTACGTTCCTCTTGTACACTGTGAGAGAGAAGGCCTGTTGAAAATGCATATGCTCAAGAGGTCAGAAGCAGGATCTGTGTTTCAACAGGCTAGAAACGATCATCTAACTTTTTCTTTTTAGGTCCTTTAAAGCTTGAATGTAAGTTTTGGAGAATGTGTTTTCAGGGTTTATTCTCTTCAGGACTGTCTTATACCATCATCCTAATGTACAAAGAAAAACTTTTCCAGCTGCAATTATTCTTACGAAATGCGTGAACAGAAAGAAAAGGCGCTTAAAAGGGAAAGAAGAAGGAACAGTGTCGCACTGTCCTCATCCCCAAACTGCTGCTGCCTCCTCCTCCCGGCACAACGCTGCTCTCGCTTCATCACCGATCCTGCAGTGCCAGGATCGGGATGGTGGACTCCCGGTATTAGTACCGCACAGGATGGAGTTTTCACTGTCCAGCTATTCAGTAGGCAACTACCGCAAGATTACGGGGTGGAAGCTTCCCCTAAAGCAGTCGAAACACCGAGCGCTGATGCCGAATTCATGGGGTGGGATTTTGTGCTGCTTGTCTCACTAGGGAAACTGCAATGCTGGGCTTGCTTTTCCCTCTGCTACTGAGCCCAAAGGGGTCTTCTATGCCTTTAGTTCCTAGCAGTATTCAGTTTCTATAATTTTCAACTGTTATTTCTATAATCTTCAATTTTTCATTTCATCATCTGGCAAAGATCAGAAACTTCAAAGCCCTTAATCTTCACTGGGGCCTGTTCTCTTGCAATAGGCTCTGAACCAGAGCCCAAACCCGCTTACCGCATGTTCTTCTTGATCATCCCTAATGCGGTAATTAAGATTGAATGGTGAAAGGCAGCCATCGCTATTGCTAAATAAATCTACGGCTGGATCGAAATGTAGTGGTCAGGTGTGTCTCTGCAAATATATGTTATTTTCTTCTTCAGATTAGAAAAGGGGGAAAAAAAGACAACAATGATCACTCTCAGCCTGAGACCTTGTATGTCAACTTTCTGCCTCTACGCTACATTTTTTTTATGGCTGAGCTACGAACCCAGGAAAATAGGAGATTCTAATGGAAACAGTGACAGATGCTTATCTGTACCAGCACAAATAGCGCTGTCATAACGGTGCTGGGGGAAGCATCGTTTCCACTGTGATGGAAAGCTCCTGGTGAAGCAATGTCATGTTTATGCATGGTTCTTCAGCCACTTTTAAGCCTGCTCGCAAGCTCAAAATCAGCCGGGTGTTGCTGAGAACAGCTGGCCATCCCCACTGCCAGGGAAAGAACTCCCCTGCTGCAGAGAAGTGACTCTGTTCAGATGAAACAAGAATTGATGCACACGTTCACCCATCCCTCACCCCAAAACTGACCCAAGGCCTTTAGAAGCACAAAAAAGGCTTTTCTGCTGCATTTCTAGATGCCAGCTGGGACCAGGGGCCTGGCAGCGCTGAAATGCCAGAAACTTTTCTCTGGGTCTGCACAGCTAAATGATCTGCTACTTAAAATGCTAATGACCACTCAAAACCATGGACACCTATAGTTGGTATTGTTGTTAGCAACTGAGCCGGAGGGAATTGTGGTTGGAAATTTTAAGGAGAAATACATAGAAACGAAGCTGCCTGGTTCACAGGAGGTTCTAACTTCGCTCGTGTCTGCACCCAGCTCTGACTATCCTCTGGCAAGGGCACAGGAACACACGTAATTGTCCTTCTGGGCTACTGTTCTTTTGCAATGTTTATTGAAATCCATGCAATGGCTCTTTTGCTTTTCTCCCCTCTCCTTTTATGAAGAGATCTAGGGGGCACTGAGTCATGTGTTACTGGTAATACTCAATGTATGTCTCCTCAGGGGGCTCTCACTCCAAATGAGATAGCAGAGCATTGCTTTCTGAACTGCTTTTTTCAGAAGGCTCTGAAATAAAAAGAACAAATGTGTAGGTATAAGGTTCGGGATGGCCGAAGGGTGGGAAACATTAATGCATGCTAAAACCAGGTGGGATTGTCACATCGATAAGGTATTAGGCCACGATTATTTCAAAACCATGATGGTGGAATTGAAGAGTTGCATGGTGCTAAGCTACTACTACTTTTAATTATTGATGTGTTACACTGAATGAGGTGTACTTATAAGATAATGAAACGTGTCCCTGGAGCTACAGTGACGTGGACTATTTCATGTGGCAACGAAACAGCTTTCACAATATGGGAACACGAAATTATTAATATGTTGAATTATAAGCATGTAATATTCCTCTTTAAGGCCTAGATAGCAATCACTAGGCACTGTTGAAAATTGTACCTTACACTTAATGCGAGTAGTTTTTTCCTCCTCCTCTGTGAAATAGTTTGCAGACTGTAGGATTCTCCAGTCTCGCACAGCCTTACTTCTTGACTCTGCTTCATCCTACTGCTGTCTTGTTTCCCTGATTTCATTATAGGAACGAGATTCAGAGGCTGATGGAGTTGTCAGCTCAGTCAGTTGCAGGGAAGGGGACTTTGCAGGCTCTGGGTAGTACATTTGTTGTGTTTTGCAAATGTTCAGTAAAAAGGTGCCTAACAAAGAACCGCCTGGCTCTGCTCAGTGCCCAGCGCAGAGGCAGGAATGAGGGTGCGTTGTTCAGAAATGTGAATAATATTTGTGCTTTTTAAATGTAAAACCTTCTTTGTGCGTGTGCAGATTTTTTTTCTGTTTCGAATAAAGCTTTCTGCAACATAAGAGAACCGAACTCTAACGCATCGTTTTCCTCTATACATTGCAAAGGCCCTTCGCTTGATGACAGCTTTTTGCTATTAGCAAGGATGGGCTGATGCTCTTTGTTCAGCTGTTTAGTCATGTTGGTTAGCAATTTCTGGGAAATAAAAAAACCTGTATTAAAAGAATGCAGCACATGCTGGAAAAAATGACTTCCTCAGCATCTTCCCATTTCAATATAATGCTTCTCTATAGTGGAAAATATTGCTAGTAGGGTATTTGAAAAATACTAGCTTAGGGAAGTTAGTGTATACATTTAAATAGATGGCTATTGCTGTAGTTCTCCTCTGCTGCACCTGCACTTTCCCATTCCCTCCAAACCATCCATTTCCAAACAGAAGAAATCACCTAATCTTTTTCCGTATTACAGAAGCTGTAAAATGTCACCCAGTTACCCAAAAATTTCCATTAGACTGTAGATATTTTCCAGTAAGTGACATAATCTTGGACCCATCGAGATGTACAGAATCCACAATGTGCTGTTTTCTTTTGCCAAGTTAACCGCAAGAACAGCTCAAACCAACGTATGATGGGGTTTATATTTATGTAGTTTTAAACTTCAAACCATTGGTTCTTCCCATGCGCTTCTCTGAAAGATTGTGGTTGCTCTTCAAAACCTTTCTCTTGCATGAATGAACCTGACCATGGTAGAGCAGCACAGGGTTAAAGAACATTCCCTGTGAATTATTTTTGAGGAGCGAGCCTGCGCTGATGAGACACTGGTATCAGTAAATGCTGTGTTTTCTCTATTTGCCCAAATAAATTTGGGCTCATCTTGAACTTGCTCCCACACCTTCCTCTGTGGGCAAGGCACTAAACACAAGCAGGTGTACCCGTGCAAGAGTTAATCGGTTTGATGCTTTGGGAATTTTATCCAGGTTATTCATCAATCACCTGCAATCATTTCTATAGCTTCACCTCTGCCAGGAATCATTTAAAAACTCTCGGCAATTAGCTGAAATAAATAGGTCTGTTGGGATAAACAGCTCTGAAGCACCATTCGGCTGCTCGCTGGTGCCGCTGTGAGCTTTTCATCCCGCCGAAGGAGAGGAAGGGGTGGTAGGAGGGAGGTGGTACTCAGTAGCCTCCTCCCGCCCCCAGTTTCACCAGTGAAAAACTCATACTGGGAGGCTTCCAGTGGCCTCCGCACTCTCTGCTGCTTCCATCCCTGAGGCTGTATCTCGTGGGTTTATATTCGTGTCGCCACTGCAGCAGCATAGGATATTTCTCTGGCTTCCTCGTGCTAATTTCAGTACCTCACAAGCCGTGCGCTGCAAGGACAACGCAGCATCATTGAGCGGCTGTACAAAAACCTCCGTTTGAAGGGGGTGGGGGGAAAAGAAATAGCTCTGCTTTGTCTGTTTGAAAATTCAATGATTTCAACACATTTATCAAATTTTAAATAATTTATGTCTTGACAGGCCTTATCAATTTTGCAAAGCACACACATTAACCAGATACAATGATCTCATATTAGCTTTTTCAGCATCTTACACTGGAGCCCAGAAAGATTAATAAAAACTCAGCCCGTCATCAATTAAATGGAAAAACATAAAATTGTGTTCCATTATAGCCCCTTTTTTTTTGCAAGAAAATGATGACGGGTTCTAATAATTCATCACAACAAGCTGAGCTTGAACTTTACTGATTATTAAATACGTTTTTCCCAAAGGCAGAGGCCGTGATGGGTTTTATGGCAGCAGATGTGATTGCTGTCAGGAATGCTTCAAGGAATTCAGGAATTAAGCAACATCTTCTTTTAGCGGCACTGTATAAAAGAGCCATGTTTGTTCCATCTAGTCACAGCCTTATTTTGCAGGATGTTATAAGCCCGTGTGCTTTTGTAATTGTAACTAACTTTCATTTACCACTGCAGCTTTTGCTAGGAATAAAAGCTGTGAATTAACAAGTTGGCTTACCATACAGAAAAAATCCTTAAGGATGCCTCGATCTTCAGCTGCCCAAATGCATGCTCAGGTTTTTGCTTGGGAATTTTTGATTTCTGATCCCTTCTCCCAAAAATTCTGCTGGGAAGCTTTTGGATTTCCCTTGAGAAAACAAAACTGTGCAGGTCAGCCTGCCCCAAGAACCAAGGAGTTGTTTTGCACTGAATCAAAAATCTTTCATTTCCAGACAGGTCCCAAGATTTGCACTGATTCCTCCTCCTCCTCCTGACTTTGCAATCAGCTGCTGCTCCCAGCCAACTAGCCCCTGTGCCAACAGTAGCTGCAGCAAGTGAAAATGGAGTGTGCACACTGCTTTGTAGGCAGCATGTAACATCCTGCCATGGTTTGGAGTTTGTGTTTTTTCTCAGAAGGTGTATTTTAAATTAGGTAAGTATGGAGGAGTTGATATAAGCTACTTATTGGAAATTGTTTTTGTAAGTTAAAAAGAGTATGTGAATACCTGAGGGCCTGACAGCAGGGTGTGTGGCTCTCATACTGGGAAAATAACAAGAGAGCTCCAAAGAAATACAACTAACTTCTGTATTTTATTTCAGTTGTGAAGAAAGTACAAAAATTACTTGAAATATTTGAGATTAAGGGACTGCTAAAACATGGCCGCATATTTGGCTGCTTGCTTTACTTCCTGAGACAAATTCTTCTGCCGTGGTTATGG